CCTCAGGAAGATCAACTGTGACTTGACTCAGGAAGATCAACTGTGACTTGACTCAGGAAGATCAACTGTGACTTGACTCAGGAAGATCAACTGTGACTTGACTCAGGAAGATCAGCTGTGACTCGACTTGGCTTATGACAATAAACTGTGACTTGACTTGGTTCATGAAGATAAGCTGTGACTTGACTTTGCCTCATGACGATCAACTCTGACTTGACTTGACTCAGGATTGACAGCGGTGACATAACAGGGCGCTGTTGTGTCCGCCATTTTGCGATCAGGCCCCGCTGTCGCCACCATTTTGTGAGCGTGCTCTAGTGCGGCCGCCATTACACGAGTGAGTGCGGGGTCGCGTTCCTCCGCGATACCCACAGTGAACGCCGAACCAACCATCAACAAAGCATAATCCATACACTGACTGAAAGATGAACGCGGACCCTCGTGAATGAGTTTGGACTTTAGCGGCAGAAAAGTATATCAAAACACAGTCCGGCAGATCTGAATAATGAACGATGGCTAAATATTCTTGAATATAGCCCTCCAGCGATCGTGTGCCCTGTCTAAGGGCTAACAATATTCTTGCTGTATCCATACCCGTCCAATGTCATCCGAGAAGCCACTGGATCCTTGTGTGGCCGAGTATTCTGTTACGGGGCTGACGAGACGTGAGACATGAGGATCCAAGTGCAAAGCTTTATTATCAGACATGGTTAGAGACAGGCAGGGGTCAGATAGTGGCAACAGGTTTATAGAGGGCAAGACATAACAATATTCCTAGGGCTAGCGTGGATCTACGAACGGTGAACAGAATTAACAGGGCGAGACTAGAGGGGTAACTCCAAGTATAAAGCAAAGGTCCAGGCAGGGGCAAACAGTATCTGAATAGAGCAAGACGAGAGGGGGAATACGAGGTGCACAGGCAAAGATCAGGATATGAGAAGACAGACAAGGCAAGACTAAGGTAAGTCTATGAAAACTAACGGGCTCTGTAGAGTTGCTATCGCTAGGTGAGTGATATACGCTATACAATACTCGGCAGCTTGACGGGGATCAGAGTGAGTGTTATATAGGGAAGGTGTGATTGATGACAGCTGTGTGCAATCAGTGCTGTGTGCAATCAACTGTGTGTGTGTAATCAGTGCAATGGATGATGGGAACTGCAGTCCGGGT